TAATATAATTTTATAAACAGATTTGTTAAGCCCATGATTATAAACAACCAAGAAATTATGCTGCGGAACAAAAAATGACGCGTTTTCGAAATTCAATATATCTTTAACATAATGAATAGTTAGTCAAAAACTTGTTACCATTAAAAAAGAAGTAACCAAAATTGTTGTACTCACCATCGGTCTTAATTTTACATTGTTCAGATATTCACTCAATTTTTTGACCCAAATTTTTTAAAATCTCTTTGAGTTTTTCAATCTCCTTTAATTTTTCAACTCGTTCCTCTTCCAATTCCTCAACACGCAGTTTTAACCCATTATAATAATCTTTTGTTTTTTGTCTTGATCTCCTGGCTGCTGCGCGATTCAAATACTTTCTTCTCAAACTTCTTTTATCTTCAGCTTCTTTATCATCATCACGGGATCTACGCTTTTTTACCAATTCATTAGGTAACGTTTGATTAGCAGGGGTCGTGTCCTTGTCAATATTCGCAGACTGAGTGGACGAAAGGAAAATGGGCGTCGAACTTGCGGTGATGGAAGAGATTGGTGAATCTTGAAATGCTAAGTCACCCTTACTGCTAATAGATATATTGCTGGCAGTAGTGATGGATGATGTGGGAGAAGGTACCAGATTTGCAAGCGAGCCTCGGTGGTTTGGATACTCCATAAATTCGTTAGGCGATAGATGAATATTGTTTGGGAATTGAAAATTATAATTTGTGGGCTCTATCATGATATCATTTTGATCCGACAAAAACATCATTGGATAAGGTAGATGGTGCATTTGTGATGAACGGACATATTCAAAGGGTTCTTCGGTAAAGATAGAAGCATAAACTGGTAAATGACTATGGAGTGTATTTTCAGAGAGCATCGGAAGCGAAGGAGGAACTAAATATTGCTGAGCGGTATGATCTGAACGAATGTCATGAAAAGGAACTGTGATTTCGTGGTCAAATTTGATAGAATGAAAAGTATTATTTATATTATCCATTGAGCAGCAAAGAAAATAAGTGATGACAATAGCGATAGAGATGATCAAGAAAGAATAGATGAGATGATTTTACTATTTAAACATCTTTAATTGTGTTAATCCAAAATGAATTACAAAGTTCATCTTTCATTGTACTGATGTCAGTTCTTTTCATTGTATATAGCAATTTCGTGCGCGAAAACGAATGAGAGATAATCATGTAATGATGTGTTCTTGGTCTTATAAACACTGCATCACTATATTCAAAATGCATTTATACAAACCCAGGCAATCACGTGTTAAATTACATACCAACTAGAGTTATTTCTGTCTCACGAATGAAGTAATTCATGATCATTAATTTCATAATGATAAATTACAGGCGCATCTTGATCTCTTGATATAGTCGCAAACTTAATATCATCACCTTTTTTATTTATCAAATAATTTTATTTTATTTTTT